CACTTGTGAGGAGGAGAGTCCCCGTGCCTACCACGGGGCGGCCTATTTGAAAGGTTACGTGTATATTATTGGGGGGTTTGATAGTGTAGACTATTTCAATAGTGTTAAGCGTTTTGACCCAGTCAAGAAGACCTGGCACCAGGTGGCCCCGATGCACTCCAGACGTTGCTATGTCAGTGTGACAGTCCTCAACAACTTCATTTATGCCATGGGGGGGTTTGACGGCTATGTGCGTCTCAACACCGCTGAGCGGTATGAGCCAGAGACCAACCAGTGGACGCTCATCGCCCCCATGCACGAGCAGAGGAGTGACGCCAGTGCCACCACACTCTATGGGAAGGTAAGATGGCAGGGCAGCAGGAAGGGCCTGGGACAAGGAGCCTGCCCAGAAGCGATGCTGCGCTTCCATGCTGGGGATGGATGAGGAAAGTGGCAGTGCTCGCTTCACAGTGCTCGCCCCTTCTGCAAATGACAAAGTTGCTTATCTTTTTGTTTTGTTTTGTTTTTTGAGTCGGAGACTCACTCTGTCACCCAGGCTGGAGTTCATTGGCACACTCATGGCCACCGCAACCTCGACCTGCTGGGCTCAGGCAATCCTTCCATGTCAGCCTTCCAAGCAGCTGGAACTACAGGCACGCGCCACCATGCCCAGCTAATTTTTTGATTTATTGTAGAGATGCGGTCTCACCATGTTGCCCAAGCTAGTCTCAAACCCCTGGGCTCAGACAATCCTCTCGTTTCCACCTCCCAGTGCTGGGATTACAGGTGTGAGCCACACACCTTTTACCTTATTAAAAAGCAGTACACTCACATATGGAAAAAAGACATTCAGACTGTACAGATTGGAATTAGGTGCCCTCCGTCCTCCAACATTCGTTTTCTACTCCCCAGAGGTGACACTTTACTTTTATTTTTTGAGTTGGAGTCTCACTCTATCACCCAGGCTGGAGTGCAGTGGCATGCTAACAGCCACCCCAGGGTTGACCTGCTGGGCTCCAGTGATCCTTCCACCTCAGTCTTCCAAGTAGCTGGAACTACAGGTGCACACTACCACACCCGGCTAATTTTTTATTTATTGTAGAGATGAGGTCTCGCCAAGTTGCCCGGGTTGGTCTTGAACCCCCAGGCTCAGGTAATCCACTCGCCTCGGCCTCCCAAAGTGCTGGGATTACAGGCTGAGTCACCGAGCCTGGCCGGAGGTGACACTCTTAAGGATCTTGGACTCTCTTCCCCAGGTCTACATATGTGGGGGGTTTAACGGCAACGAGTGCCTGTTCACAGCAGAAGTGTACAACACTGAGAGCAACCAGTGGACAGTCATAGCACCCATGAGGAGCAGGAGGAGTGGTATAGGCGTGATTGCCTATGGAGAGCACGTGTACGCGGTATGTGATCCTTGTGTTACATCACAGGTGGTACACCGAGACTGTCTATGGGCAAATAGGCTTATGCAGCCATCAGTAAGCATTTGAAAGCTTTCTTTCAAGCAAGACAGAGGAAGAGGGAGGTATGAAATCACTGGTTTCCCCTAGTGAGGGTCTCCTCGGTGAAAAGAAGTAGTGCCTCACAGGTAAGCCTGTTCTCCTGCCATCCACAGGTAGGTGGCTTTGACGGAGCGAACCGACTGAGGAGTGCAGAGGCCTACAGCCCAGTGGCGAACACCTGGCGCACCATCCCCACCATGTTTAACCCTCGGAGTAACTTTGGCATTGAGGTGGTAGATGACCTCCTGTTTGTGGTGGGAGGCTTCAATGGCTTTACCACCACCTTCAACGTCGAGTGCTATGATGAGAAGACCGATGAGTGGTATGACGCCCACGACATGAGCATCTACCGCAGTGCCCTGAGCTGCTGCGTGGTGCCAGGCCTGGCCAATGTGGGGGAATATGCAGCAAGACGGGACAACTTCTCAGGACTGGCACTGCGAGATGAAGTCAAGTATTCCGCGTCGACAAGCACCCTGCCGGTATGAGCCTTTCATGTAGCTAATAAAAAGTCTAAGCAATAAGAATTCATTTTTTTTTTTTTAAATAAACGCAGTGCTTCAACTTGTAAGAGTACTGGAAAATGCTCGGCTCAACAAGGGCAGAATGAATGAAGGAACAAGAGGAAAGAAAGAAGGCAATTACTTCCACCAGTACCCAATTAAAGGAGAAAGACACAGAACCAGCTCTAAAGAAATATGTTTATTTAAGACTTACATCAAGACAATTAGTAGCTTTACCACAGAACAAGATAGCTTCAGGAACATAAAACAAGCTGCTTTACAACGTCATTTCTCAAAGGGTTCTAAGTACTACATCTTCTCTGACTTGGAGGGAGATAGCCAAGGTTCTATTTTCAGTAGAGCAGGGGCCGGGATACTGTTAGCACATAAAACTCACTGTATCAATTCAAACTAAGTAATTATTTTACAAATAACTGGACAAGCCCTAGCACATGGATCATAAACTCTTCAAACATCTAGCAAGCACTACTTCTCACGAGTGCATTATGCAGGAGGGTTGAGTTCAACAAGCTCTACAGTATGTGCCTCAATGTAAGATGTTCATAGCAATGGGCAGAGAGTAGCCGAAAGCCAGACACATGTCATTAACAGAGCAGTAATTGGGCTGGCTAGTTAAATTCCTGGAAGCAAAACGACCCTATGTTATTATTATTACATCATTCAACTATGAGCTGTTTTGTTTCCAATGACCAGAACACATGTTATAATATAAGCATAACAGAAACAAAAATGGACTATTCTCAAGAAAGTGACAGACTGGAGTGATGGGCTGTGCCAAAGTGTTTGACAGTTAAGGAGTGACTGAATTGATCCCCAAATATTCTACAGTGAAAGTACCCTATTTTTCTAGTGTAGGCAGAAGGCTTTACAATACTGTATACATTCAAAGACATGAAATGCGGCCAACAGACCCTTTTTATTTGAGCTTAATTTGAGGAAAGTACCCCAAAAAAGTTCCTTTAGTTATGTTTGATTAGACCAAGTAACTAAAATATACAATTCAGCTCACCTGTCTATATATAGTATACTGTTATTAGAATTATGAAGCAGAAAATGACGTATTTTAAACATACCACATGCTACACTAGTCAAGAGACCAAGAAGAAAAGTGCCCTAGAAACTGCCTTACCAGCAGCTGAAGGATTCAAAAAACAGAAGCAAACAAATTTTCCATAAACAATACCTTCCTAGCTTCAAACTTCTGTTCTATATTAAACGATATTTTAAAATTTTTTGGTCCCAGAAATACTATACAAAACCACATACAAAACCAAAACTGATGTCAATTAATTTTAAGTTTTTAACAAAAAGGTTATTTCTGAACTGGCACGGCAAAAGCAAAGCTGATATCAAGATACACAAGACTAATTTTACATGCAAACGACTGCACATGAGATGTATTACTTAAACACTAAGCTCAGGACTGACATTCTCAACAAACACCGATTGTTTTTTTTAAACCATGGGGAGTAGCATAGGTATAGTTAATTTACTATTCTAACATATAAGTAGCCTTCCTCAAAGTTATGTATTCTTACTCATTTTTGGCATAATCAATTCCCCTTTCTCCCTTCTACAAGCAAAAGCAAAAGCAAGAAAACAAAGGTTTGCTTGAATATACGTTAAGCTGTATTTTAATAGCCAAGCTTCTAACCGCTTAAATTACCAAACACAATCTTTTGAGTTTTCATCAAAAGAAAACTGTTTTCTTTCCCAAGGAGCCAGTTTAGCCTGACCATCATAATTAGAACCTTTCCAAAGACTCTGGGAAATGATGTCCAGTTTAGAATTTCAGAATGTCAGCCCTGAACAGATTTAAGCAAATCTGGCTTCTTTCCTTATTAACAAGTTAGTTAGGATATTGCAGAAACATAAGTTATTGATGTGAAATTACGTGTGTGAATTTGAATATAAAAATTAGAAATTCAGTAGTCAGGAAAACCTGCACACATCATCATGCAATGAAGGACTTACCCCTTCTTTTCAGCCATGGCCTAGGCTGCCTGCTAAGTTAAAAAACAACAGTTTCAATCAAGGTTTTAAAACCAGATTATACCTAAATCTTATGAGTTATCATTTCTGCCACATCATGTGAAAGAAAGACAATGCCACGAAGAACTTGATAATGATGGTCTCAGAAGACAACTCTGAGCCCTAAAAACAAGAACAAAATCATCACACCCTTGGGGAAAAACTGGCATCCTAGTGAGACACTGAGTTATTTCCACACAAGAAAGCGCCTGGGTAGCGAGACCTCATCTCTACAATAAATCAAAAAATCAGCCGGGCATGGTAGCGCATGCCTGTAATTCCGGCTACTTGGAAGGCTGAGGCGGAAAGATCGCCGGAGCCCAGCAGGTCGAGGCTGCGGCGGCCAGAAGCGGCCACTGCACTCCAGTCTGGGTGACAGAGTGAGACTCCAACTCAAAAAAAAAAAAGAAAATGAAAAGAAAGCTTGTGGCATAGTCTACTGGAGAGAAACAAGATCCTCATTCAACAACTGTCTCACTTGCATAGGTGTCTCCAATTAAGCATTAGTGCTTCTCAGAGTCCAAATGGCTTTTATTAAAATAACTACAAAAAGAGAAGACTGAGAAAAAGCTAGTGGTGGGTAGTATGATACATCCTCAGGTAGAAACAGCCCTGCAGTTTCCCACCCCATTCCAGCCTAAATTAAACGGGTTTAAAGCTGATTTCCAACACATTTACTCAATGCCTTTGTCCTAGGTAGGGATACTAATTTAGAAATTTCAGAGAAGTTCTTAGTATAGAGCCTAAGAGCTCAAACATTAATAGTCTTGCAGCAAACAGGCAGAATTTCTAGTTGTGCTTTTTTCTTTTGATGTATGAACACACAATGAACAAGGATGTTAACTATAATGGACTAGGGGAAAAAAATCACTGCACTTGGGACTTGACTTCTAGAATGGTATTCTGGAATGTCTAAGAAAGTAAAGACACCCCTTAGGAAACAAGAAAAATATACTGGACCCACACTGTAAACCATTAGAACAGGAGTTCTTTATGCTAACTAATGAGCATGAAGAGTCAACCTGAGTGCTAACTTTTATAAAGCTTGGGAATGTGTAAGAGAACTAGGTGAAAGCACAAAACTAAATAAAAGATAATTGCAGTGATAAATCTTTAAGAGTCAAAATTATGCACCCAAATTTGGTATTCGAGGCTCAAAGTGTCAATAAAAGTCTGGGTAACTGGCTACAATGTAACAATCAGGGTAAGAAATAGCAAGGTTTCTCTCCAGCAACATCTAAAGTTATCGCTTTCCTTTCCATCCTGAAAAAAACACTTCTTGTAGAAAGGAATAATGAAGATTCTATACACTATGCATTAGAGCAAAAATTAAAACTGAAGGCATTGAGTGTTGATTGTCATAGGCATTATTTACACTCATCAACATATCCTCAAATAAGCCTGCAACTCCTGAAAAAAGTGTTTACAATTTTTAAATGCCTTTGATATCTCAGTCTACACTAATACTTTTCTTCTTAGAGAAACAAATTTCACATATATAACTTCCTCTGTGTTCTGTCAATCAGCTAAAGATCTATATTTTGCCAAATATCATTATCTCAGAGCAGTGGCTTGAAGTCTATAAACAGCTGCTGAAGAAGTGAAAAATATTCAAAATATGCATGAGCCAATCACAAATTTCTCATCAGACACCTCTTCTAGAAATGAAAGTAGCATTTCTAGATAAACACAAGAAAATATCAATGCCAACATTCTGAAATCACCTTGCTGAAAATACTGTGCATTTTCTTTCAAATTTCAGTCTCATTATTGCACATACCTCCTGTAAATGAGGGCTCAATGCATAAATTCTGATCTTGTCAAAACCAACCATTCTGAAAAACACTTTTAAAAGTGCAAATAAAATTGGTGCTTAAAGTATAATCAAAACATTAAGTCCCCAAGACAAAGGAATTATTACTTGTTGGCAGAAAAACAGTCAATTAAGTACAGCTGAGCTTTCCACTTGTCCTTAATAAGCTCTTGTTCAGCTAGCACATATAGACAAGCCAGAGACAGCTAGGGATCACAAGCTAACAAAAATTACCACATACTGAACGGAGTTTCTCCTTCTCTTGTTTTTAACTGTACTATCTTTATATGGGGTCATAATCAGTTCACGTAGAAAATAAGTTATCAACATACTTTTTCAAGTAACAGTCTGGATAGCTTCAGCCTCACGAGACGGTTTAGCAGCGTTAAGCTGCATGTTCGAGAACCTAGCACTCAATCTGGGAGCTCGGCACGCGCCGCATGTTCAGGGCGTGCCGGTGAATCTCCTGCATCTGTCGGATGCGGTCCTTCTGCCACATCAGGTTTTGAGGCATGGGATATCTCTGTGTGCCATGCAGGTACCGGTAGGGGATCCTCACGTGACAGGCTGTGGCTCTACAACGAGGCTGCGGCATGGGAGGAAGAAGCATCCACCTCTTTCTCTCGGCACAGTATCGGTAGGCTTCTTTCCGATACTGTTTGTCAATATCGTCACTGTTTTTCCAGCCCCCGATAATAAAGACATCATCTTTGTAATAGCAAATGGCTGCTCCCTCAATGCTTAGGACTTCGGGAGGCAAGCTTTCAAGGATCTCATCAGACACTTGGCTGGCAATTTTTCTTACTGCCTCTTCATTTTCTACAGAATAACTCTTGGGACAGCATGATGCTGTCTGATAAAAGTTTGAATTGACCACAGACATTTGGAAAAAGCAGTAATTGTCAATAAGTGGCAAAGACTCCACATCTTGCCACTGTCGAGTCTCTGTATCATAGCAAGTAATTACAGCCTTTAATCCATCTTCAGTGTCCCGGTCCACAGGTGTGCGGGCGGCAATGTACACAAACCGGTCTTCAATGGCTAGCGCCTTCACATCACGAAGAATCCTTGGTGCCGATTCCAAGTTGTGCCATTTATCAAGCTCAGGGTTATAAACAGTCACATCTTTAAAGCCAGGACTAAAGTTGCCATGTCCCCCAATGCTATAGAGCTTCCCTTTCACTTCTGTTAGCCCAAAAGAATGCTTTCTTGTCATCAGACTACAAACATGCTCCCATGTATTCAAATTTGGGTTATACCTTTCTACAGTTTTAGCAAACCCTGGCTCCATGGATCCAGCAACATACACGTAGGATTCTGTCACTGCAACAGCATGTCCATCGAGGTGATTATGAATATGGGGCAGGTTTACCCATCTGTCCTCATCCACAAAATATCCCACACATTCGCTTAAATAGTCCCCTCCTTCCGACACACCTCCAATAACCATGATCACATCCATGTTTTGCCCATAACGAGGTAACAGCGAGACATGAGATGTGGGGTGCTGGAGCGTGCCAGACTGTATGTTCTCAGCCCTCAGGGCGTGCCTCTCCACTGCATCAGACACCAACTTGACGCAAACTTCATTGCTGGCTACCAGCCTCTCTGGTTTGACGTGCCGAGTAAGGTAGGTGGGTTTCATCTGGGACAACCTGAGCAGTTTAAACAGTTCTTCAAAGTATCTCTCCCTCTCTTCAGCATTTCTCTGAACCCACTTCAAAACAGTTTCAAAGAGAACCTCTTCAGAATCAACTGTAATTTCCAAGTCGGACAGCCAGTCTCGAATAAGATGGAAGGGTAAGGTATAAAATTCCTCATCCTGAATCACTTTGTGAAAGTTTCGCCGTATCATGTCAGCAGCCTTCAGAGCAAGTTGGCTCAGGGTGTACATGTGAGCTAAGCTATGAATGGCCACACAATTTGAGAGATGAAGTTTCTTCTTGAGAAATTCTCCACAAAATTCTTTTAGACGAATTAACAGGAACCTAAAATCAAGAACAAAATAAAAGATTAATTTTCAGATGTGCATATTTTACGGTTATATTTTTAGAGCATCTGAATTATACAAATTAAAATGGCTAGATAATCTCACTTTATACACAACACCTGAAGAAAGAAAATCTCCCCAAGTAGAATATTGTTCTGGAAAAAGTCTGTTTAAAAGCATGTATGGGACAGGGTGTGGTGGCTCAAGCCTGTAATCCCAGAACTCTGGGAGGCTGAGGTGAGAGACCAGTCTGGGCAACTTGGCGAGACCTCATCTCTACAATAAATAAAAAAATTAGCTGGGGGTGGTAGCACGACCTTGTAGTTCTGGCTATTTGGAAGGCTGAGGTGGAAGGATCACCTGAGCCCAGCAGGTCGATGCTGGGATGGCTGTGAGCATGCAACTGCACTCCAACCTGGGCAACGGAGTAAGACTCCAACTCAAAAAAATTAAAAAGCAATAAAAATAAAAATAATAAAAGCTTAGCCAGGTGTGGCAGTATGCGCCTGTAGCTCCGGCTACTTGGAAGGCTGAGGCAGACGGATCACCGGAGCCCAGCAGGTCGAGGCTGCGGTGACCGGGAGCGTGCCACTGTCCTCCAGTCTGGGCGACAGAATGAGACTTCAACTCAAAAAAATAAAAAATAAAAAATAATAAAAGCATGTGTGGGTTGAGCGTAGTGGTTCACACCTATAATCCCAGCACTTTGGGAGGCCAAGATAACAGGACTGCCTGAGCCCACGGGTTAGAGACCAGCCTGGGCAACTTGGTGAGACCTCATCTCTACAATAAATAAAAAACTTAGCTGGGCATTGTGGTTCACACCTGTAATCCCATTACTTTGGGAAGCTGAGGCAAGAGGATTGCCAGAGCCCAGGAGTTAGAGACAAGGCTGAGCAACATGGCAAGACCCTGTCTCTTTAATAAGTCAAAAAATTGCCAGGCTCGGTGGCTCAGCCTGTAATCCCGCACTTTGGGTGGCCGAGGTGAGTGGACTGCCTGAGCCCGCGGGTTCAAGACCCGCCTGGGCAACTTGGCGAGACTCATCACTACAATAAATCAAAAATTAGCTGGGCATGGTAGTGCATGCCTGTAGTTCCAGCTACTTGGAAGGCTGGAGTGGAAGGATCGCTGGAGCCCAGCAGGTCGAGGCTGCGGTGGCTGGGAGTGGCCACTGCACTCCAGTCTGGGCGACAGAGTGAGACTCCAACTCAAAAAAAAGAAAAAATGTCAAAAAATTAGCTGGGCATGGTAGCACACGCCTGTGGTTCCAGCTACCTGGAAGATTGAGACAGAAGGATCACCTGAGTCTAGCACCCCCTCCCAAAGTGCTGGGATTACAGGTGCAAGCCACAGTACCTGGCAAA